AACAAAGCTAATTGAAGAACTTTTGCTTCTATGAAGGCCTAGTTTATTTGTTCTTATGTAATTCAAGTGCTCTTATAAAATAGTCTTTTGTGCCAGCTACCACTGAATTTTTGTATCTCTTTTGCTAGGCAAAGTGTCACCGAGGATTAAAATGTTTCATTCTCTGTTTCTGTGTCTCCTTTTTAGGGAGATGGATCTGGCCTAAAGATGTATCATTTCTTTTGGTTTTAAAGTGAATTCAGTTTGACAGATGAAAGCCTCCTTCAGAATTTTTTTTTAAATTCAGAGGATCTCAGAAAAGTAGGAAAAATATTTCAGAGTCCAACACAAAAGTATGTTTGAACACGAAAAGATGTAAGACCCTCAGAAATATGTTTGCTCTACAGTTACTCAAGAACTAATATAACTGCTGTAACAAGACCAACAATGGGAAAACTAGTTTAAGTTTGACATAAAATCTTTTTTTCTTATCTGCTGTTTGAGTGATTAGATGCTTCTGTTCTTGCTTAGTGATAATGTTTGTGATGTTACTAGAGTGGAAAAAAACCTCATGTAGATGAAGATGCAGGCCTTTTATTAGAATACATTAATTATATGGGAAATTTGTCACATCCTAATCTTGCCACTCAGACTTTCAGTTAGCCGAATTATCTTTTCATTAAACATACAGTCAATCAAAATGAGATACGAGGGTGGTCTCAAATTACCATCCCAATTACCATCAAAAGAATGGTTTTACAGGAATGATTTAAGACAAATGTTTAAGACTAATATTTGCTTTAAGGCAATGCTTTCCAAGTGCACAAATAATAGATGTCATCAAATATTAGCTTTGCAGTCTGCAAAATTATTTCAAATAAATTATTTCAATGTTTACATTCAGTTTTATTGCTGGTTAGATGTTGGACCAATAACTGGTCACACTGCTGTCTTCAAGGTCTTGACTTCAGTAGGATTATTTAAGAAGAAAGGTATTGCATATGTTATTGCATATGGATAGCCAGCTAACAGAATGGTGGCAGTAAATCTCTAGTGGACCTCTAAGAAAGTGGGAAAATATTCTATCTCCTTATCCATTGACTATCTCCATCAATGTTGTGGCTATCGTGGTAGCAGTAACTGTAACAATTTAATGCAAATCCAGGTACGTATTCTGTGGACATCTAGCCATCATGTGTTGTTACTTTCTGTAACAATTTTCTGAAATAATTTATTAAAATGCTCTGTTGGGCTGAGATATTTGTTATGATGCGAGCAAATATTTGAAACATCAAACTTGATAGTCAAGTGGGGGTTTGGCATTTGTTTAATGCTGTTTTTAAAAGTTATTTTGATACCATGTCTGGGAACAGAAAATATTAACATGCATGTTGTGGGTTTCTTTTAAACAGAAAATAACATTTATGTGTTTGTTTCAGGTATAATTAAAGTTTTAGTGCTTCTGAAAGACAAGCTCAGATAAGGTAGGTGTGATTTATGATTTTAATATAATTGATCCTTCTTACTGTGAGTTCCAATTGGTTGTTTCACAGTGGAACAGTTCCTCAAGTGCCTTCATGAAACATGTCCTTGGTTTCCTTTATGACTCCATTGTACCTCAGCCTAGGACACTAAGTCTGTTTGAGGATATTGTTAGAGGGTGTTTGCACACAGAAGTTGTACATGATAAATAGTTTTAACAAGGTCCTTGCTACGGAAACTTAACCTGACATCAGTTGATTAGCCAAATTCTGCTTCTATATTTTTAATCAGATGTTTTTCCATAGAAAAATGTGCTTGTGTATTTGATAGTGTAGAGTATGTTGTAATAGTGTAGTAGAGTAGTATCTTGTCCCTTTGAACTCCTCTAGACTTTCTGTATAGACACCCATTTCTTGCATTTTGAAGGCCCCATCTCCTTCCAAAAGGAAACAAACAGAAGCAGAATATGTCATACCATCCCTCTTCTAAGGATCTTCCTTTTCTTCAGTAATGCATCAAACACATTCTTGACTATTATTTTTTTCTGGTCTCTTTGGCACCACCCTTATTCAGAAATTCTGTTAATTGTTTCTTTATTTCTGTTTTTCTTTCATATCTGGAAAAAACTCTCAAAATCACTCTTGGCTGCATTTGCCTCTCGAACAATTTTTTCATTTTACCTTTAACTTAGCTAGGTAAGTATTTACAATGATAGCATTAATCCTTTTCCTGTGTTTCCCTGCAGACCCTGTTTGATTCAAATGCAGTATTTTATTTTTACTTTCAGAATGGTTCTTAGCATAACACCATCCAGTCTCCCACTTACCGCTTCCTAGCCTTACATCTTTTGTCCTATTGTAGTCAGTAATGGCAGCCTCCCCATGCTTGAGCATTGAAGAAAACACATTTTCTTTCTCTTTAGAGAAAATTCACTACTATACAAATCTCTGCTCCACACATAATCATTAACAAAACTATTTCCTTGTTTTAATTTGTAACTACTCCTTGAAACTGTAGTTTCCCTTCTGCCACAAAAATAGATACAGATTCTTGTCCTACTTGGGCTATCTTGACTACCATGCCAGGACACCATGTTTGTTCTGTCAGTTCCCTGGTGTCTGTGCCCATTTGTTATTGCTTATCTCAGCTAGTGAAATCTGCATGCTAGGAAAGTATTTGTCTAGAGTTTAGAGAAGGATGTAGCATTGAAACATGTTGATCTATATTTCTGACATTGAGATATTGCTATCCTGGTGATGTAATGCCAATTTTCCCCCATTTCACTAGTACTGACCAAGGAAATAAACTTTTATTTTGTAGAAGTCATTCTATTTTGGACATGCAGAGTAAACCAGCCTTTATGTGACTTAAAAATGCACCTGTATGCAAATGTAAACTAGTGAATTTGGACAGATTTCCATTAGAGGAAACATGAGAAGGAGTCAGGGAATACTGATGTTTTCTTTACAATTGTTGATGCCAAACACAATTAAAACTTTTTTCTTTTTTTTTTTAATAATGATAGAGATTATATTGATGATTCTGGATCAAAATAGTGATCAGGTAATTTTGTGTTTGCAAGCAATTCAAATTTTAACTTAAATCAAACCTAATAATTTTCAAGTTTTTGAACATTATGAGATTATTCTCCTGTTGCATATAGAGTGTTTCCTCTTTTATGTCTTCCTCTTTAATGCCTATTGATCTGCTTTTGAGAGTACTTTCCCTCACCTGCAGGTTCCACACTAAGAAAATCGAATGTTCATGATGAGATGGCACTTTCATAGTCTACCAATTGTAGCTCTTTGCAATATGAAACATCATGGTTTTATTTATATTTGTATTTTAAAATGTTAGAAAAAGGGATAATTGCATTTCACGTACAAATATGTTATCTGAAGTATCATTAAGATGCTTCTTAAAAGTATGACTTCTAAGAGTGAATCAGCTAGATCTCATGTTAATTGTCATTAAAAGTTAGCTAAACTTCTACTGAATACAATGGGAATTTTTCATGTAAAATGAATATTTCACACAGCCCTTGCAAATTATCACATATTTATACGTCATGATTGATGAAACAAGTTTTCCATTTGAAGTACTTTTCCTTTTACTGACAAGCTTCGCATGCCATAACTTGCTAAGCTGTGATTTCAGAATGCGTATTGTCTGAATTAAATAATATTTGAAATAAAATTATTTTTATCAGTTAAGATGCTGATCTTCACAAAAAAAATAGTGCTTGTTGTCTGTACTAAGTTCTATTTTACAGCTTTCAATATAAAAACTGTATTAAGAATTTTAATTTTGCAGTACAAATCCAAATTTGATGTCAACCTTCTGTAGTCTCAGTGCTGTTTGCTAAAGGGTGCCATATAATAACAACACAGTTTAAACATAATGTCTGCG